AAATTGGAAAGCCATCTAGCATAAAACGCACACTTCCATGATGGAAAAGCTTTCCCCAGAAACCCAAAGCGTCTTTGCAAATCAGCAAAGATTGGGGAAAGCATCTCAGAAAAATGCAATCTGATTAAGGGTAAAAAGCTGTTTTTTAAAAAAGAAAAAAAATCTCAAACAAAGCCGAGCTTGCTTTTAAAAGGGAGAACAGTTTGCTCCATGGGGAAGTTTACCAATGTTCATTTGCAACGTGGTGGCATTTTTAGATGCAACTGTATTTGTAATTGGTAATTTGTAATAACTGTAATTGGAACAGGGCAGGACATTTTCCAAGCAAAGATGCTTCCTGCAACCAGCGGTGGGAAAACAGCCCTGCTAATACTCAAGAGATTCCGATTCCCCCCAGCCCCCGATTTTCAGAAAGGAAGGTCAAAAATAAAAATGCAACCACCACCAAAATCCGAGCAGCAGAAGGAAACAGTGATGTTCTTCGGCTCAAGGACTCCCAGAACAATCTGTTCAGCTGATGAGAAATTGACGGATCACGTTGCTCACTGTAACTAGGATTCTAGATGCTTTATTAGGTAAAAAAAAAAAAATTCTCCTTCTGGGATTCCTAACACTGCCAGAAGACCCTCCGTAATTACTTCTCACACTATGTTTTTTAAAAAGTTTCCCGTAACTTTAAAACTGGACCACCTCTCTCATTGCTGATTTCCAAGAGGTATTTAGGCCCCAGATGGGCTCCCAGATTGCTGCTTCCCTTGGGGGTAAATAATGGGGCTCCTGGTCCCCACAAAAAAAATCAAAGGCAAGCTCAGGGGTGAGAGCTCAGGAACCCTTGGATGGGGTGGGTAGAGGAAGCTTCCTAGCAAAGGGTTTGGGGGGGCTGGCCAGGGGTCCATTTGGGTGACCATTTCATAAGCAGGAAGAAGAGGCGTTAAGAAGACCCAAAGAGTTTTAAAGTGTGCATTGAAGAGGCTTCTGTATCCATGCATCCATTAGAGATCTAAAAGGCTGCCAAAAGAATAAGAACCAGCAAAAACGAGGTTTTAACCTGAAACCTTAGCAAAATAATGTTGTTCTTTCAGTGGAAAACTGTCAAAGAGGAAATTTAAATGAGGGGGAGGGGAGTACAAACTCTCATGAGTAGCCACAGGACAAGAGACTATGAAGAAAGCGATGGATTTAAACAGCGAGCAAAAACCGAGAGCTGCGTCTGCTAGCTAGCCGGCTCCGTTCCTTGCGGTGGGTTTTCTCTCACTGTGTTGCATCTTTCCACTTTTAGAGATGTCAAGCTCTTGTGTGAAGCCAAGCACGGAGCCATGTTTTATTACATTCCGATTTCCCCCCATTGTAAGAACAAAGAGAGAGAGAGAGAGAAAGAGGAGGGAGGGAAGGAGGGAAAGAAGGAAGGAAGGAAGGAAGGAAGGAAGGAAGGAAGGAAGGAAGGAAGGAAGGAAGGAAGGAAGGAAGGAAGGATAAGAAAGAAAGAAAGAAAGAAAGGGGAGGGAAGGAAGACAGAAAGAAAAAAGAAAAGAAAAGAAAAGAGAGAGGGAGGGAGGGAAGGAAGGAAGGAAAAAAAGACAGAGGGAAGGAGGGAAAGAAGGAAAGAAGGAAGGAAGGATGACAGAAAGAAAGAGAAGGGAGGGAGGGAAGGAAGGAATGCAGAAATAAAAGAAAAGAAAAGAGGGAGGGAAGGAAGGAAGGAAGGAAAAATACAGAGAGAGAGAGAGAAAGAGAAGGGAGAGAGAGAAGGAAGACAGAAAGAAAAGAGGGAGGGAAGGAAGGAAAGAAAAAAACAGAAAAAGAAAGAAAGAAAGAAAGAAAGAAAGAAAGAAAGAAAGAAAGAGAAAGAAAGAGAAAGAAAGAAACCCTTTCACAGTTTCCCCTTTTTTGCGTCCCACGCTTGGAACAAGTTCTGCAGAACCATCAGCAGAAAGAGTGATCTGGAATTAGCGTTTTGAACAATCACTCTGGCGCAGCACCTCTGGCTGCTCCTTTTTTTTTTCAGGGCTCCCTGCAGCCAAGAGATGCCACTCAGGGGCCAATTCTGAAGCTCTTCATCTGAATCAATTGTGAAGGCTGTACAGCTATATAAAGGCGCATCTGCTTTGGAATCCCACTTCCTGCCTTTTGCAGCCCATTTACTGCAGCCAAACTCAGCACTATTCCAAAGCGAATGGTGTGATTCCCTGGTTTACCCTTGAAATCCAGTTTACGGCAGATTTGACAGTACCAGCTGTCTCAATCCCCAGAAAGATCTTCGCTAGTGCAACAGACCAGGAGAAGCAACAGTTCCCCTCAGGAAGAGCTTCCGATGGACCCACCAGCCCTGTTCCTACCTGGCCCACAAAGAGAGAGGTGAGCCTTAGAAAAAGGCTATCATTCTGCAGCTGGCATCATCCCTTAGAGAGGACTCTACTTGTCCCAACAGCCCAGATTGGTTTGAAGCCAAGCTTTCTCCTGGACAGTTCTTGGGGGAATTAATTTTCTCTGCCTGCTGCTGAAACAGGGATGAAAGTCTAGGGCAGCCCCACACAAACAGGGCCCCTCTCTCTTCCTCCTTCCTCCTCTCCTCTTTGGTCATGTAAGGTGGTTGATCAAGAGGAGACAAATCTCCCTCAACTGCATGAATCATAAATCAGTGACAAACTTTTTTTCAAAACGGCTGCTGCCCACTTTGGCAGGCATGACCAACCCTCCTGGGTAAAGCATTTATCCCAGGAATGGAATGCCAACCCCGGCAGCCGCCCCTTCAGCACCAGAACTGACCGCTTTGGGAAATGACACCCACCGGTACGGTTCGACTCCAGGACAATTATTCTGAAACATTCTGGGCCAGCTACCCAAACGCTTGAAATGAAGTCTATTAGTATTATCTCTTTTATTCATTAAACATGAAACTCAGTCAACTGAACATTCAAAAATGCATCACAAATACCATTGACTGGTGCTAACAGTTGATACGGGTTGCTGCCAGCGTCCTAGGCATCAACCAAGTACCTTCTTAAGATGTACAATGTTCCGATTAGCGCAGTTTTTTGCAGTTCCGCTGGTGTTATTGCAGGAAGCTGCAATTTCTTGATGTGTTTTGTAAAATTCTTGGACATGGTACCAAGTGCCCCAATGACAATGACAATTATTATTATTATTATTTTAATTAGAAATGCTTGACAGAGAGGAAACACTTTCCTCTTTCATTCAGGGGCTTTTCAATTTTGCAGAATAGACGAAGCAAGAAACAGCTTTCCAAGAAGCCCAGAAATGCCTCCACAGCTGGGGCCAAGCGAGCAGCCAGGACCCTCCTGCCAGCAATGCTCGAGCAGCCAAACAGGCTCTGGGTCCAATTCCCGCTGGGCAGCCAGCATGTGGTGCCAAAGAGCATGGACCTGTGTCCAAAAAAGGGGGTTGGCTTCTTTTTTTAACAGCAGGGGGACCTACAGCCCCTTAGCTGCCTCCAACATGGAAAAACGGGCAAGAAGGAAACTCCCCTCCTCACAGACCCCTTTGGGACTCCAACATCCCTGAGCAACAAGCAGGTGGAAGGTTCAAGGCAAGACGGCTTACTCAGTTACTCAGGCATTTTCTGGAATACTTTTTTTTCCTCGTTTCACATTTTTATTGGGTTATACCCATGATGGCGAACCTATGGCACGCATGCCACAGGTGGCACACGGAGCAATATTGGTGGGCACACGAGTGTTGCCCTAGCTCAGCTCCAGCGCGCATGTGCGCACCAGCCAACTGATTTTCAGGCCTTCTGGTCCCACCGGAAGTCGGGAAACTGGCTGTTTCTGGCCTCTAGAGGGTCTCCAGGTAGATGGGGAAGGCTGTTTTTGCCCTCCCCAGGCTCCTAGAAAGCCTCTGGAGCCTGGGGAGGGCAAAAAGCAGGCCTACCGGGCCTACCGGGCCATCACGTGCCAAAAGCAGGGGGGAGCGTGGGGGGTCACATGTGCATGCGCAGGAAGGCAGGGCGCATTGAATTATGGATGTGGGCACACGTACCCGCGACCCCCTCCTCTCCCACCACTTTTGGCACGCGACGGCAAAAAGGTTAGCCATCACTGGGTTATACTGTAGAATAAAATAAGATACAAAATAGGAAAGTAAATAGGAAAACGGTGGGGAGGAAGAGGGGGAAGAGAAGCGAGGGAGGATAAGAAAAGAAAAACAAAAACAAAACATTGACTTCTGACTCCCTCTGTTGCACTAGAATAAGGCATTAACATCAAATGACAACTTTTTTTTTTCATAGTAATACAAACTAGCCATTTCTATAAGTATCTATCAATCTAATCGGTAAAACCCAAAATCAACGTTTCATTCTTTTCCACCTCAAGCAGAAAGTTCAGAAGCTTTGTCTCCATGGGGACACAAAAGTACTTTAATTTTCTTTAATCAAAATAGACAATTTTGCCATTTCTGCCAACTCCATCAACTTTTGGCAACCCTTCGCCCGTGGTGGGAATCGAAGTGTCCTCCCTTTTTGTGCATACAATAAATAGCTTTGCTGCTGTTACTTATAGTAACAAAGTTCCAAAGTTTCCCCTCCAGGTCTTTTTCCATTAGACGCAAAAGGAAGATTTTATCCATGGAATATTTATTTTTGCTGATGTTAATGTTTCTACGCTGTAAGCCACCCAGAGTCACTTCAAAATGAGAAATGGGCAGCAAATAAATTTAATAATAATAAATAAATAAAATTTAAAATAAATAATAAATAATAAAATAAAATAAAATAAAATAAAATAATAAAATAATAAAATAAAATAAAATAAAATAATAAAATAAAATAAAATAAAATAAAATAAAATAAAATAAAATAAAATAAAATAAACTATTCCCTGCTCTCAAGACAGAGATGATCCTTGGCAGGCAGCCCACCAAGACCTTCTCCTGCCCCCAACAGGGGACACAGCCCACTGCTTCCGGTTCAGCTGGCAGGAGCATCAAGGGCTCTGGGGCTGCAGCCTCTGCCCCAAATGAAGTCATCCATAGCTACTTACCCGGAAATCGATCCCCACTGTCGAGATGAAGCTCCCAGCCAAGAAAGCGCCGTCCTTGAAGCGCACCAGCAAACAGGTCTTGCCTACTCCGGAATCACCAACTAGCATCACCTGGAGGAGGAAAAGGAGGAGAAGGGATGAGAAGGGATGGCAGTGGCCTCTCTGACCTCCTGGACCCAATGGACAAGGGGAGAGGTGAGACAGGAAAGGGTCCTGCTTTGCCTTCACACTTTCCACAGCTGCTCAGCCACTGGCCTCCTCAGATGGTCTCCTAAACTGGTTGAGCTTCCTTCAGACAACTCTGCTCCTCAGGCCACCCAACGTCTCTTGCCTAATGCAGGCTGGCTTAAAGCCATTCCACTCCCTAACAGCAAAGTTCCCCCTTCTCTCAACTGAGGGATTTAGACTGACCGGTTTATTCTGACAACTCTCCTGAGTTGGGATCATAATCCCCACAAATTTTCCCTGGAAGCCCAAAGGTGAGAATTGAAACAGCTCCCACACAGCTGCTACCCAAACTGGAACTGTCTGCCTCAAATCTGTAATGGGTTGAGCCTGAGACAAGCTGGGTTAAATGCACGTTCACTGCAAGAGAGAGAGAGAGAGAGAGAGAGAGAGAGAGAGAAAAGAACCGGGGGCTGCAAGAGGTTGGCTTCATGCTTCATGTTTTTAATAAGCTGTACACCGCCCGGAGTCCTTCGGGAGAAGGGCGGTATAGAAATAAAATTATTCTATTCTATTCTATTCATGCAATTTAGAAAGAGCTCTCTTTTCTTAAGTGGCAAGTCAGGTGGGCATCTTCTGGAGCAGGAGTCTCCAACCTTGGCAACTTTAAGCCAGGAGGACTTCCCAGAATTCCCCAGCCAGCTTTGCTAAATTGTATTTATTTAAATTGATTTATTGGAGGTGTAAATTGTATTGTGGTTAGGTTTCAACCCCACTTTTTCACTGACCCCCTAGCTTTATTTCCACAACAGGACTGCTGGCAGCGGATAGACTGGAGCCCCAAACTCCCCACACTTCATGTAACTTTGCATCTCCAAAGCAGCAGAGAGAGAATTGTTCACCAGGAACAAAGACAAAACATGACATGTTAGACCTTGGTAACTTCTTGCGAGGAGCGGAGACTGGCAGACCTTAAGTTTGCTGCAGCAAAAGTGCCAAGCGTGTCATTGCACCATTTACACACCCTCTCCATGAATACAGTTCACACCACAACTTTGTACAAAGAATCCTTCGTGGTTTAGGGCAGGCAGAGACCACTAACTACTGAAAACAAACAAACCACATGGTGAGCTCTACTCCGTTATTATTAGGAACACAGAGATAAGCCAAACCATGGTTTCTTTTGTTTGGCTTAGCCCGATGTCCATTCTTCAGTAAAGATTGGTTAAAACAAGCCAGGGCTTACCATGATGTGTAAATCCAGTCAGTGCTGGGCCTTTATCTGATTAAGGCCATCTACAGGCTGGGGAGGATGGGATTGTGGGATTACTCATCTGCGGCAGGGGTGAAATCCAGCAGGTTCTGACAGGTTCTGGAGAACCGGTAGTGGAAATTTTGAGTAGTTCGGAGAGCCGGCAAATGCCACCATGGCTCACCCCAGAGTGTGGTGGGAATGGAGATTTTGCAATATCTTTCCCCCAAGAGTGGGGAGGGAATGGGGATTTTACAATATCCTTCCCCTAGGAGTGGGGAGGGAATGGGGATTTTGCAGTATCTTTCCCCTGCCACGACTACCAAGCCATGCCCACCAAACCACACCACACCTATCAAGCTACGTCCACAGAACTGGTAGTAAAAAAATTTGGATTTCACCATTGATCTGTGGACATGGGGCTTGGCTGGGAAGTTCATTTTCTCCCAATTGGCCTCTTTCAAGACTACCCAGCATTTCCCTGATCGCCAACCATAATCTTCCTATCGCTATTCCTATGGAATGGAATGGAACGGAACGGAACGGAACGGAACGGAACAGAACAGAACAGAACGGGATGGAAGGGATCTTGGAGATCTTCTAGTCCAACCCCCTGCTTAGGCAGGAAACACTATACCATTTCAGACAAATGGTTATTCAATCTCTTCTTAAAAACTTCCAATGTTGGCGCATTCATAACTTCTGGAGGCAAATTGTTCCAGTAGCTAATTGTTCTAACTCTCAGGAAGTTTCTCCTTAATTCCAGGTTGATTAGTTTCCACCCATTGCTTCTTGTCCTGCCCTCGGGTGCTTTGGAGAACAGCTTGACTCCCTCTTCTTTGTGACAGCCTTTCTACTCCGCTCCAAATTTTGGGCAGAGAAGGCAGACTTCCAGTTGATGCTGCTGGCTGGGCTCTTGGGAACTGTAGTTCAGCATTAGTGAACCTGAGGTTTCTGTCAGTTTCTCCTGGCTAGCCAGCTCAGCTTCACCTGGCCCCAAAATACGCTTTGCTTTTCTTTGCTTTGCTGGCGCAAACCACATCTCAACATAATGGGTGATATTTCCAAAGTCACCTCTTGGGATTAAAAAAAACCTCACCCAATTCTTCCATCAGTGCCCCAGGCCTCCCACCGCTCTTTTCTAACCACAGCAAAGCTACCCAATTCTCTAGAAAAATCTCTTCTTGGCTTTTTTGCTTTGGCTTTAAGTAAACCATCGGTGAACCTCTCCTTACCCTGCACCATTGCTTTTTTCCGATGAGAAATGAAATGTTTTGTTCGTCTTTCTCAAGAAAAAAACCCCAATCTGGTGGCCTTTTGAAAAGGCACCTTTGAGGTAGCTATGGCCTGGGTGACTGAGCATCTCTACGGATGTGTGACACGATGTAGGAGATGAAATGCATCGGGACAAAGTTCAGCAGTCCATCTGCATTTGACAAACAAAGGCCACTCTTTTGAAGACGGCAAAGTCCACATTTTGGACAGAGAGGACCACTGGTTTGAAAGAGGGATCAAAGAGGCCATTTATGGAAACATTTAGCAGGCCTCTCAACAGAGAGAGGAGGAATAACACACCACCTGTGTCTAGTCTACAATGCACCCCTTGTAGCAGTTCCAAGAAGATTCTACAATCTGATTCAGGAGATCCTGAGGGCACAGATCAACCCCCAAGTAGCCTCAACAGCTCTCAGGAAGAGAGAGTCCTTCCATTTCCCACCTCTCCTCCCCCCCAAAAAACTGGTCAGAACCTATCTTTCCATGCCCTTATCATCCAGCCTCAACCGTCAGTATCTATCCTTTCTCCTCCCACCACCACAACTGATGAAGCTTCTTGGATGAGAAGCAAAACATTTTGTTCTTCTTCTTCCTCAAGGAAAAAAAAACAGTCCAGTTGCCTTTTGGGAAAAAAAAAGACCTTTGAGACACAAGTGAATCCATATCAACCAAGTGAAACTTCTCACCCTATTCTTCCATCTGAATTCTCAAAGACCGCCTGGGCAAGACCCTGCAGGGTTTTCTGGCAAGGTTTTTCTGCTTTGCCATTGCCTCCTTCCCGGGGCTGAGAGGAAGGGAGTGGCCCAAGGTCACCCACCTGGCTTTGCGCCTAAGGTGGGACTAGAACTCACGGTCTCCCAGTTTCTAGCCGGATGCCTTCACCACGACGCTCACAACAGCCATAGATGGCCAACCACGCCGTTAGCTGAGTCAAACACCTTGCAGGTAATCTGAGTTACTGGATCATAAAGCACCCACAAATTTTACCTTCCTTGGGCTGTCCAGCCCCTTTCTTGCAGAACCCGATCAAGGAAACATGATTCACACACATTTTCTTGACTTAATGTAATGCCAAGAATCAGTATAACAAAGGTGAAGAACTGAGATCATAGGACCCTTCCAAGCCTCTTCTTCTAGCGAGTTCATTAAGTGAGCTTATTGTGGGGTGGGTGAGTGGGGTGGGGGGGATTGTCTTTATTTCTCAGAATGTTTGCAGATAAGTCTGTGTGTTGGATAAACCTGGAACAAGATCTCCTGTCTGCTCATTGTTTGTGTTTGTCTCACTCTCAACGCCACCATTCCTCTCTTGCACACGGAGGGTGCAAAGTGCCGGTGGGATCGGTCCCTGGTTCTGTGTGCTGTGAGAAGCAAGGCTGCACTGAGTAAATTCCCGCAGGAGTTACAATTAAACATGTTGTACAACTTGTGCAAATGCCATCAGTAGTGTGTGCACATCCCAGGCAGTAGGATTCATTTAAGCACACCTGGGCTCCCTTCCCAGGTGCAAAACCCAGATTGTCCCACCAGGAGAGCGGAAGTAAACTTCTCCAGTTGCTCTTTTACGGCGCAGACTGGCATCAGGAAAGGTGCCATCTTTTTTCCTCAAAGGGTCCTGGGCTGGGCAAACACAACTGGGTGGGAAAGACCACCCGCGATAAGGACCTTCAAGGGGGAGAAAGTGAGCGGAGGGCGGAACGGGCAGCGCCAGAGGTGGGGATGGCTGGAAAAAGGAGCGCTGGAGAGTAGCTCTCACGGGGCGAAGAGCTTCCAGCTACAGGCGCAGTCTACCTCCGGCCGCAACTGTGCACTAATGCCTGCAAGCAGCAGCTTCAGGCACCTGCTCGCGGCTGATAGTTCGGTTAGGGAGCGGAGCGGAGCCGCGGGCTGCCCCGGAACCCAGGCACTTTCGGGATCGGCTCGCCGGGGCAGGAACCGGCTGGAAAACAAGCCCGCGGCCGCTTCCGAGCGCCGAATCTTCGCTCCGCCAGCGGCAGACGCGCCTGTTGCGAGGCCGTCCCGCGCTCCAGCCCGGCCGGGGAAAGCAGGAGCCCCTCGCGCCCGCCAAGCCTCCCCAAGACGCGCCGCCTCGGTCGCGCCAGGGCAGCCCTCCGTCCGTCCGCCCGCCCGCCCGCCCGTCGAGCGGTGGGTGGCTGGGTGGGCGCCGGCCGAGCCCCGCTGCCCCGGCCAAGTCGCGCCCGCCGCTCACCTTGAAGGCGACGTCGTGGAACTCGCCGCTGCTGCTGAGCGAGGGCCGGCTGGGCAGCGCCCCCCCCGTTGGCCGCCCCCTCCTGGGCCGCGCCCGCGCCCCTGCCCGGCCCGCCCGACGAGGCGGCGGCGGCGGCGGCGGCGGCGGCGCGTTGCTGGGCGGCGGGCAGGGCGGAGGAGGGCGCGGCGCTGCCGCCTTTGCCCTTGGGGCTCTTCTTGCGGGACATGTGGCGCTGCTTCAGGGCGCCCCGGCCGCCGGCTCCGCGCTCAGCCCGGCTCCCAACGCCGCCGGCATCCCGTCCGGTGCCCGTCCTCGGCAGCGCGGTCCGTGCGCCCGCCCCGCCGCCGCGCCTCCCCGCCTCTCCGCCGCTGGGAGCGCCCGAGCCGCGGCCACGCTGCCGGAGAGGGCGGGGGAGCGGCGCTGGGCTCCCCGCCGGCCTGACCCGGCCCGGCCCCGCGCCAGCGCCCCGGAGGGCAAGGCAGGGCGCAGGAGGGGACGGCCTGGCCCCGCAGCCCACGCCGGGGTCTCCGGCCGGGGCAGTCGCGGGGCGAGCGGGGAGACGTTTGCGGGGAGGCGCTTCCCCAAAAAGTTTCCTCGGACGCGCGTCCCGGATAGCGGAGCCTGCGTTCGCACAACCGCTCTCCGGGTTCGCTTCGGATCCGGGTTGAACACCACATCGGCCCCGTGCAAGAAAAGCAGATCTGCAAAATAAACGCATTGCACGAAAGTACCATCGAGTCCCAGTTTGCTTAACCACGATTTCTGGATGACCCACAATTGTCTTGATGACCCACAACATCTACATTAAAACCAGCCGGCACTATGACACAGTTCACACAACCCAACTGGCTTCCATGAATGGTTTCACCATTCTTTTTACCCAAGACCTTTGATGGACCACCCCATGGTTTAACAATGATGTGTGTGAACCCAACCCATAGCTACTTTAACACACTGTCCCGAAGCATGGTCCGTTTAACCATGGTTTGTTGAGTAAGCTTAGTTCACCGGGTTCCCATAGTGGCTTCGTGTGCAACAGGTGTTTCCTGTCACATTATTTTTGTACGCAATCAAGCATTGCTAAGTAAACAATGGTGTGGCAGATAGTGAAGTCTACACCGCTAAACATGTGCTGCTTTTTATCTTGACAGGAATTAGTAGCCAAACCACATGCAAGAGCTGGCAGGATGCTTGACAGATCCTAAGCGAGGCTCCTGCACTCATCTGTGCCACAAAGTGCTCTTAAAAGCAATCCTAACATATTGGCACCTTAGGAGAAATGACACGAATGCAACAATCTGCAATCTGAGGGGTGTCAGAAAAATTAAGATGGCTGAAGCCCAAACATTTTGGATCCATGGTGACCAGGTGGGGTCGCAGTCTCTGCTTTGACTTTTGACACCCCTGGGTGCACCCTAGGGAGCATCCATGCCACTTCCCGAGCGTGCTTATCACGCAGCCCTCGTGCCCTTCTCCCCATCACCAAGAAAGGGCAAAGTATGCAAAAGGTGCCTCTGGAGCAAGGAGCCACCACTGACAACACATTAACACACTGCCTTATCCACATACTCTATTTGGGATGCAGATGTTTGGCTGACGTCTGGACAGAGCCTCAAAGGGGAAGCCGGTTAAAATGAAGCATCACGATAGAGTAGGACAGTGATGGCTAACCTTTTTGCCATCGCGTGCCAAAAGCGGAGGGAGCGCTGGGAGGGGCGTTGTCACGTGCATGTGTGCCCACACCCATAATTTAATGCACCCTGCCCCCCACGCATATGTGTGCGACCCCCCTGCACTCCCCCTGCTTTTGGCACGCGATGGCATGGTGGGCCGATAAGCCCATTTTTTGCTCTCTCCAGGCTCCAGAGGCTTTTTTGGAGCCTGGGGAGGGCAAAAACAGCCTTCCCCACCCCACCCAGAGGCCCTCCGGAGGCAGGAAACGGCCCGTTTCCTGACTTCCGGTGGGCCCAGGAGGCCCGAAGATCAGTTGGCTGGCTCACGCATGTGCGCCATAGCTGAGCTAGGGCAATGCTTGTGTGCCCACCGATATGGCTCAGCGTGCCACCTGTGGCACGTGTGCCATGGGTTCGCCATCATGGGAGTAGGATTTCTATCTGCATAAATACGCATGCAATGTTGCTCTCATAAGCATGTATTCATTTTACAGGTGTGCAAATTACGTTATTTTAGGGTTGAGGAGGTCTGCAAATAAATTCAGGGCATCCAAAGCTAAGCCACTATCATTAGTGAACTATTTTTTTTTTAGAATTTCCACAGTGGAGAATACAATATTTGTAGTTTATAAAGAGTTGGGATCTTGATGTTACCTGCGCTTGGTTGTTTTCCTGGCTGAAGTTTTGTTACCAGGCTAGGGAACGTCCACTGGGCAAGGAAGAGCAGAGTCCCCTGGTGGTTTCGAGAGAGCCTCTTGTCCTCCCAATCTTGGCTGGGACGCAGTTTGAACACTTCTTGGTTCTTTGATTAGGGTACTGTTTTTCCCTGGCCTGGTGCTGCTTCCTGCCTCTCTGGGTGTTGGTTGCCAGGGGAACACAACAGATACCCACGCAACTTCATCAAAATACCTAGCTACATAACCTATGGCGACACAACCTGGGAGATGGTTAACTATCCCGTACATGAAAGGCGCTTCTGAGACAACCAACAACCTATGATATCCTCAGCATCGCTGTGATTCAGACCAACAAAACCCCACCAAATGCTTTTAAAACTACCCAAAGAAATAGCAAGAGCACTTAGACATATATCACTTCACAATGCTTTTACAGCCCTCTCTAAGCAGTTTACAGACTCAGCCTCTTGCCCCCAACAATCTGGGTCCTCATTTTACACCCCCCCCCCGAGAAGTTGGAAGGCTGAGTCAACCTTGAGCTGGTCAGGATCAAACTGCTGGCAGTGGGCAGTATTAGCCTGCAGTACTGCACTCTAACCACTGCGCGCCACGGCTCACAGAAATAATAATTAATCAGAGTCAACAACAACATACAGTGCAAGGACTGTAAGAGACAGTCGGAAGACCAAGACCATCATCTGTGAACATCAAGTGACATTCGGAAGACAAGATGAAAGCTCCTTCGTCTTTCTGCAGGTAGAGAAATTCAAGAACAATTTCAACTGGGAAAGAGTTGGCATTTTGGGAGAAGACAATTCCAAAAATACTAAGTAATTCCTACAAGCTTGGCATCCTAACAAACCCATCAACACACACAGAGATAAGCCCCACTGACATTCCATTTAAAAGATACAATCGAAAGTCTAGGAAGGAAGGAAACAGCCAAAAACACATCCTCTCAAGCAGCTACACCGAAATAAGCAAAAAACAGCACAGATAAACAACCAGGAGAAAAAATGGCTTAATAAGGGCCATCAAGGAAGAAGCCACACCTCAACCAAGATCGGCAGGGCAAGCTACTGTATATAAACAAGCAGCAAACTCCATTCTTTCATGTACCGAGGATACTATGTAGCATGGTCCCGTCTTGACTACTGCAACGCTCTCTACCTAGGGCTGCCCTTGAAAACCACTCAAAGTCTTCAGCTGGTGCAGAATGCGGCTGCGCGTGTTGTGATGGGAGCGTCCCGACACCCCCATGTTACACCCCTCCTGTGCGGCTTGCATTGGCTACCGGTTGCCCTTCGGGTGAGGTTCAAGGTGCTGGTTATCACCTATAAAGCCCTTCATGGCCTAGGCCCGGGATACCTGTCGGACCCCCAGCCAGCGACAATCCCCAATTGCCCAGTGCGTTCCCACAGACAGGGCCTCCTCAGGGTGCCGTCAGCCAGACAGTGTCGGCTGGTGACCCCCAGGGGGAGAGCTTTCTCTGTGGGCGCACCCACCCTCTGGAACCAACTTCCTTTGGAGCTCCGGATGGCCCCAGACCTTCGCTCGTTCCGCCGCGAGTTGAAGACCTGGTTGTTCCGTAGCCTGGACTGATGGGGGGGGGGTTAATGAATTTTAAACTGTTTTAAACTGGGTTTTAACTTTATATCGTTTTAATAGGAATTATGCATTCTACGGTTGTGAGCTGTCCTGAGTCCTCGGAGATGGGGCGGCATATAAATTGCATAATATAAATAAATAAATAAATGGTAGCAAAATTTCTGCTGGAAAACAACGCAGCTCGGAGAACATCAACAGCCCAATGCTTTTCAGAGCCTTTTACAATCTGAGCTAGTGCTGACTTAATGAATTATTGCTGAAAAGGATCACTCAACAGAGTATGTGAGCCCATCTTAAAAGTTATGCAAAAATTCAGTACTCTCATTTCACATGCATAAGAACATTCAGAAGCAGGTGAAGAAGGCTAAACAAGGAGCATCTGGCTAGAATTAAATGTAAAATGGATGAAATTACAGGTTGAAAGTAAATGAAGGAAAATTTCAGAGAGCGGTATGAGAATAATACAGATAGTCCTCAACCTATGACCACAATTGAGCCCAAACTTTCTGTTGCTAAGTGAGACATTTGTTAAGTGAATTTTACCCCATTTTTACGATCTTTCTTGCCACAGTTGATAAGTCCGTGATGGCGAACCTATGGCATGCATGCCACAGGTGGCAAGCGTAGCCATATTGGTGGGCACGCGAGCTCAGCTCTGGTGCACATATGCGCCGGCCAGCTGATTTTCGGGCCTTCTGAGCCCACCACAAGTAGGGAAACAGGCCGTTTCCTGCCTCCAGAGGGCCTCCGGTGGTGGTGGGGAAGGCCTGTTTTTCTCTCTTCCCAGGCTCCAGAGCCTTTCTAGGAGCTTGGGGAGGGCAAAAATGGCCTTCCCCACACACCCCGGAGGCCCTCTGGAGGCCGAAAACGTCCTGTAACAGCCGATTTCTGGTCTCCGGAGGGCCTCTGGGGGGGTGGGGGGTGGGGAAGGCTGTTTTTGCCCTCCCCAGGCTTCTAGAAGAGCAAAAAATGGTCCTTCCAGTCCCACCGGAAGTTGGCAAATGGGCCATTTCTAGCCTCCGAAGGGGGGGTGGGGAAGGCCATTTTCACCCTCCCCAAGCTCCTAGAAAGTCTCTGGAGTTTGGGGAGAGAGAAAAATGGGCCTACCGGGCCCACCATGCCATCGCGTGCCGGGCGGGGGGGGGGGGGGGGGGGGTAGTTGTGCATGCATGCGCGGGGGCGGGGCACATAGAATTATGGGTGTGGGGATGTATGCATGCGCCCCGCCCAGCTCCTGGCACATGATGGCAAAAAGGTTAGCCATCACTGTGATAAGTGAATCACTGTAGTTGTCATTTAACATGGTTGTTAAAGTGAATCTGGCTTCCCCATCAATCCTGGGACACTGCAACCATC